TGCTTAAAACATTAGCACTCTTGCAATATTTTGCTGATTTAACAGTGTCTGATAATTGACACCTCTTGCTCTGAATTATTACATCAAAATGTCTGTGCTGTTGCAATCTTGAGTATGCTGTTCAGATGTGTATCTGTAAGCTGCAGACCTACAATGATGCAGCAGCAGCAGAACTGGAAGAAGCAGAAGACAGCCAGTTCCACTGCGGGCCTGATAGAAGCCCTCCAGGGGCCTAACTTAAAATAAAAACATGCTTAAAACATTAGCACTCTTGCAATATTTTGTTTATTTAACAGTGTCTGATAATTGACACCTCTTGCTCTGAATTATTACATCAAAATGTCTGTGCTGTTGCAATCTTGAGTATGCTGTTCAGATGTGTATCTGTAAGCTGCAGACCTACAATGATGCAGCAGCAGCAGAACTGGAAGAAGCAGAAGACAGCCAGTTCCACTGCGGGCCTGATAGAAGCCCTCCAGGGGCCTGATCCGGCCCTCGAGCCACATGTTTGACACCCCTGGTCTAACCATCTCATTCTTTGCCGTCCCCCTCTTCTTTTTCCTTCAGTCTTTCTCAGCATCAGGGTCTTCTCCAGTGAGTGCTCCTCATTTGGGTTGATTTTCTTTTAGGATTGACTGATTTGATCTCCTTGCAGTCCAAGGGACTCTAGAGAGTCTTCTCCAGCACCATAATTCAAAAGAATCTATTCTTCGGCACTCAGCCTTCCTTATAGTCCAGCTCTCGCAGCCATACATTACTATTGGGGATACCATTGCTTTGACCATACGGACTTTTGTTGGCAGGATGATGCCTCTACTTTTTATTATGCTGTCTAGGTTTTCCATTGCTTTCCTCCCAAGGAGCAGGCATCTTTTAATTTCATGGCTGCAATCACCGTCTGCAGTGATCTTGGATCCCAGGAACATGAAGTCTGTCACTGCTTCCATCCTAACTGAAGTATCAAGGAACAGTATCAGATCCAGTTCATATATTGCATGACATCCCTGAAAATATGCCACAGAACTGCAAACCAAATAGAAATCATAACATTTTGGAAGGACCTGGGAATTTTATCAGCCTACCATGCCACTGTACTATTTTACATTCCCGTGTCTAAATGTACCTAAATAGGGACAAAGGCAGGGCTAGGAAGAAAATAGCAGACCCCGTCCTAAGTAAGAATCACCTAATGTTTTTGGGAACTCTCTCCAGTAACACAGGACCTTTGCCTACTGTTACAGGGATATTTTTGCTTCTTCCCCTTCCTTCAGTCCTAATGGTTGTTTGGGAGCCAGACTTTGGGGGAGGGAAGGCAAGGAGCAAGGATTCTTTTACTTTTTTTCTGAAGAGAGAGTTGTGGGAAGTGCAACAACAGTGGCAAAAAACCAGGGCTAAAGACTTTTACTTTTTTGCTTCCACCCCCTCTCCTGCATAACTTTTCCAGGTCCCTATTTGCAGCATATGCAAGTGTTATTATTTATTTACTTTAGCCACTGTACTATTTTACATTCCTGTGTCTAAATGTACCTAAATAGGGACAAAGGCAGGGCTAGGAAGAAAATAGCAGACCCCGTCCTAAGTAAGAATCACCTAATGTTTTTGGGAACTCTCTCCAGTAACACAGGACCTTTGCCTACTGTTACAGGGATATTTTTGCTTCTTCCCCTTCCTTCAGTCCTAATGGTTGTTTGGGAGCCAGACTTTGGGGGAGGGAAGGCAAGGAGCAAGGATTCTTTTACTTTTTTTCTGAAGAGAGAGTTGTGGGAAGTGCAACAACAGTGGCAAAAAACCAGGGCTAAAGACTTTTACTTTTTTGCTTCCACCCCCTCTCCTGCATAACTTTTCCAGGTCCCTATTTGCAGCATATGCAAGTGTTATTATTTATTTACTTTATATCCTGTCTTTCTCCCCAAGAGGGACCCAAAACCTCTTACATCATTCTCCCCTCCTCCCCCTGTATCCTCACAACCTTGTGAGGTAATTTAGGTGGCTGTAGAACGTTAAGATCATTCCCTCACGTGGAAAATTTTAAACTTTCTATTGAAACAGTTTAATTCCTCGTTTTTAAGAAATGTGTTAGCACTTTAAATGGAATTTAGCATTGTTGGTCTGTTAAAGAAATGATCACATGCCTGTGCTATAGGGAGAGGCTCCTTCTGTGGGGCACTTTACATGTCGTGCAAGTATCACTGATGGCTGGTCGTTTTCCAACAGTCTGTTTTCAAGAGTTCCCCACTTCTGGGCTGCTTTCTCTTCGGCCTACCACTGGGTGTCATCAGCATCATGTGTTACGGAATTTGTACTGCTGACACTGATGGAGGTTCAGGGGAAGCAGAGCCACTGACGGAGGAAACAGCAGGCCGGGAGCTGACTGACGAAGGCACTGAAGGCACTGATGAAGGCACAGAAGAAGAACAGGAGGGGATGAGTGAAGAAGCCATGGAACTTGCAGATGAAGGAGCCACAGAACTTGCAGGTGGAGAGCCGGAACAGAAAACGATATTGGAAAAGAAAAAAGACTAAACTGATAGCTAAAGAGTTTCTCTGTAGAATTTCAAAATATTTATTGAATTTATTGAATTCAGCCATTTACCTGCAACCTTCAGAGAAAAGACATTTTTGTCAATTTTATTTGCATGCTTTAAATAGCTTGGCAGTGATGAGAAGGAGTGGGTGGGAGCTTTGGGCTTTGAAGTCTCATTCTTAGCTTGTTGGGGAAAAAAACAGATTTAGGAATATACATGGATGTCATTTCTTAATGATGTGTTACTGTTTGCGGGCTGCCACTGGGCAACAGATAATCCTTTTCTGGTGCCTGTTCTGAGGTTAAACAATATGACCAAAGTAAACAAAAGTCACCTTTATTATATGTATACCTATGTTTGAAAGCAGGGATGATCTCAGAAACTGTAGAATGAAATCTGTATATATAACTGAACTTTAGAAACTCTTTATTGGAGAACATGCACTGAAGATGTTACAAAACCTATTTTTACTTTAGTTATTGTAGATTTTACAAAGCAATTCCATTTTGCCCCTTGAAGTAAACATAAGTTCTACTTATCTGCTGAAGAGGAGTATGAGTGTCTCCTCAGAATGACAGTTAATACAAGTTTTTAAAGATATTAAATTTGCATCTGCCTCCTGCTTTGATACAGTGAAAAAAATGTTACAGATTTTTTTTAAACCCATTGGTTTCTGTATTTTACTTTAAAAACAAAGTATGGTTTACTTGAAGAGGAAATATCCTTATATCCCTCCCAAGTACTTGACAAACCTGTGGGCTCAATTTGCTCATAATATCACTGACTGAATACTCTGTATGGATGTATGTGTATGTTGGGTACATGATTCCATGACAAATTTTCATCCAGTGTATCATAATATTCAGTCTTGTTACATCTTTGACATGCACCAGTGGGGGAAAAATATTTAAACAAATATTAACTTGTTAACATGGATATCTGCACTTATGTCTCTGACTACAGGCTGTTGACTGGAGGAAGAGTTAATTATCTGTAGCACTGTTAACAGTTATAGAAAAGGGAGTATTTGTCACCATAATGCATTTTTATTAGTTGCTTAATCATATAAGTCATCTCTAATACTTCCCCATGACATTGAAAGAGAATAAGCTGTCTTCAGAGTTGGGATCTCCTGGGGTAAGCCGTAAGATGGTGTTGGGAGTATTGATACCATGGTGATTACCATAGCAACCAAGCCTATGCTGCTCATTTTCAGTACTGAGGCTGTGTCACATTCAGTTGTAAAAATATAAAACATAAAAGCTTTTCAGCTTGTTGATCACTGTACAACCTTTTGATATAATGTGGATATTATCCATACTGGGCAGCTCAGTATAGTTAGTATATATGTATTCTATTCTAAAGAAATTTAGGATTGAATAGATTAAAAAAAAAAAACTAAAGAGACTGGTTAAGTTGCACAAAGGTAGACTCTTGCTTTCTCTGTAGAAGCCAAAATCCAGGAAAACACAGTCCAACTGAACAAGATTTTCTAACTTAAGAAATGTTAATAGGATAAAAATTATGCTGCCTATGCATACTGGTTGTGTTTCTAGTAAGGATCACTTTTATTTCATTGAGAAGAATTAATGATTTTGATAGAAGTGCATATTGCTTTTCATAAAAAGAAACCATGAGGACTACAGTTACTCTGCCCCCAAGAGGGAATTACTGTTTTGTTTATTTTCATTTATAGATCATTTAAAAATGTTTGTGACAGTTTGGCTGTGTGATCCTTTTTATATTATTTCAATATGAGCAGTTCATTTCAGTTGTGGCTATATCAAAGAGCAAAGTCCTTCTAAAAGTATTTTTTGGTTCCAGAGTTCTTGGGATGTCATTCAAATCTTGTCTTATACCTACAGTTAGCTTTTCACATATGGTGATTTCTTCCAGCTACAGGAAGAACTCCTCCATTTTTGCTGCATACTCCATGACAGACTCAAGAGTTTGGTATCTGCTCCCTAGAGTCTAGATTCTCTGTGGCAGGGAGGCAGCCTTCAGGTGGTGTACCTTTTGTTGCTTTGAATATTCTTTAGCGTAGCAGGCTTAAAGAAAGCTTGCTTAAGCCTATTATTGCTAATGCTTTAAAAATGATATTTTAATTAGATCTTTGTTCCCATAGCTACTGGTTGTGGCTAAATTCTCTTCCAGGTCTAAAGGGTGTACATTCCAAGATAACAGATCCTTCGAACACTTCTTCAAATTATATAGTATTAAGCAAGTAGATTTTGAGTGGTTTGGTCAGTGTCAGTTTAAGAATATATTTGTTTGCCATTCCGCTTATGGTCAAACTACCTGCTGTTATCCAAACTGAAATCTGTTTACCACTTCATTCCATATATGTGACATTATAGTTGACTGTACTTTAATTGATGCCTCCCTTTATGCAGAGAATTAAGAGTTTGTGGTATAAAATAAAATGGCTTATTTGTATCATTTAAAATGCTTCATGCAGAGAGGGGTAACTATTTTGAATTGAGTGTATGGCTTGGATTTATGATCTTTATTCTACTGTATTGGATTCTTCCATTGTAAATGTGTTTTTCTACTATAATAAAATATTAAATATTTGTTTTCATTTCTTGGTAGTTCTGCATCAAATGTGACTAAATGCAGACGTCCTTAACAGGGAAGAAATTTCCTAAAACAGTTGTTCACTGCTTGGAGACTTGAAAAATTTCTTACTCACAGAACCAGATTCCTAAGCCTTTGAAAGCTGCTGTTAAAATGTCAGAATTTCTTGCCTATTTCCTTATTTTCAGGGTGTGCGCGCTCAATACACCTACTTTTTAAATACAGTGGTCCTCACTTTATTCACATAACATGGGGGGGGGGAGGTTTATAGGCAAGACTAGCAAAGATGAGTATGTAGTCTCTTATGAGTGATTCACAAGTGCATCATGGTGCCTTGAGATGCAAGGACTATATAAAGGATCAGTATGTACACCACCATGAAACATTTGTGTAATTTTTTTTTGTATCATAGTTTTTATTTAGGATATAACCATCAACAGTTAACCATAAGTCATCAAGATAATACCCTCTATTATTCAACAATAAAAATACTTTCATCATCCCCCCCCCCGTTATATCCTCCTCCCATTTCCCTCCCCTATAAACAACCAGCTTCGACCTCCTGCGTTCTTAGTCCCAGTTCAATGTTGTTTTTCAAACTTCTTATATTTCATTAGGCAACTCTTATGTCTACTCCCTCTATCTTCATTTTCAATACTCTCAATAATGGTTCTATTTTTAATAATTATCAAAACTAAATAAGGTATCTTTTACATCTCCATATTTTTCCAAGTAGTCTTTTAGATCTACATTTGTGTAATTTTTTAACATGCATCAGGATCACAAGTTGCAGCATTTCCAGACAAGAGCCAAAGGTGGTTATTCTTACAATGACTATTAAAATGAGAGCCAGCACGGTATAGTGGTTAAGAGAAGTGGACTCTAATCTGGAGAACTGAGTTTGATTCCTCACTCCATATGAAGCCTGCTGGGTGACCTTGGGCCAATCACAGTTCTCTCAGAACTCTCTTAGCCCCACCTACCGCACAAGGTGCCTGCTGTAGGGAGAGGAATGTGATTATAAGCTGCTTTGAGAACTCCTTAGGGTAGAGAAAAGTGGGATATAAAAACCAACCCTTCTTCTCTTTACTACAAATCTAGTGGATCACTGTTTTGACTATTCTGTGTTCCTAACATAGTGCTGGTCTCTTACCATAAAAAGCATATGCCATTAATTTACATTCTGCACTGGTGCAAAATGCCTACATGTGCTTATTTTAAGGATGTTAAAACCAGGGTTCTGGATCAAAAAGTTACAACTAATTTTGCATGTGCAAGGTACTTCAGACATGTTTCTGTAAAGGCAGTACTCCAGTTTATCCATGCTGAAGACGATTTCAAAAGCATTTTAATATGGTGTGGGGGCTGCCATTTGAAGTGAAAAATGGCTAAAGTAGTTTTCTGAACGCCATACGATGACCACAAAAAAGCACACTGATTTTGGGAAGGAGAATTTGAATGTGTAATATTTCCATAATGCACAATTTATGTAACACAAGTGACTTGAAAAATCTCTGTTGGGAATAGAAATGCAAGATGAAGGATTTGTTAAAAACAAACTTTGTTCATACTTTGTAAGTTTTATATGACTGTATGGCATCCAGAATTTTTATCATTATAGCTTAAAATGCAGCTCACCTCTTCTGCAATGTGAGTAATGAAAGCAGTGATGAACTCTTTGACAAGATGCATAAGTTGCTCCTGTATGTGTATATGACTTTCTGGATCATTGACTTTGGTGCAGTTGGCTTAGAGATCTAGAAATACCGAATATGGGATGATAGTACTAGAAAAGTCCATTAACATTTAAAAGGGATACCAATAATAAAGTGTTCTGGCTGACTCCATATTAGGCTACATTATCCCTTTTATTAGGCAAATGAAATGGGTAGAATTCACAGCTGAAGAGTTTGTCCTGTATAGCCCAAAATACATTTTGTACAAATCTTGAATATTGATTTAGTTTGTTCCTAACACAATGAGTTTCCTTTTTATTCCTTGCTATCCAGATCTCATAAAATCTTTCTGTTAAAGTGACCGTGAAAAATTGATTACTCTTTAGTTTTCTAGATTTGGAGCTTTATTTCTCAGTTTTCTCCATGTGTTCTGTTTTGCATTTTGCCTGTAGTATTCCATCTTTTTAATTTGATTGTATGCATCGTAGGAACTATATCAGTAAATATGACAATTATATAGATAACTCTAAATTGTAAAGAGTGCTCCCTTTAGTGAGTTTCAGTTTATGCACAGTGTGGAGATGTGGAATTACTTTGAAAATGTCATATAGCCCTTACAGTATTTATGTTCAAAATCCTTATATTCATAAGAAAGGTGCTGTCAGTGCTGAAACATGTGCCCTTCAAATACGTTTGGAAATGGGCAGTCTGAGACAGTGTACAGCTGCATGACACCAGCCTTGTCTCTTCATTGAAGTGGGAAAAAACAGTGGTGAAAAGGAGAGGGTTTTCTCTGGCCACCAAAACACAATACTTAGGGGGTCTTGGGTCCTGCCCAGATTAAAGGCATGTACAACAGGGGTTGGAGTAAGGAGTACAATTAGGTGAAATTGAGTGGGAAAGCTTTTTTGGATCCAAGCCAAGGAATCATTGTTGACACTGAACTTAAGAAAAGATGCTCTTAGATTTTTCAGTTTGTGTTAATATACTAATAGTACTAATAATATGTTTCTCATAAATCAACAGTCCTTCACATTTATTTATAATCTCACATTGTCAAATTTGGTACCTGCATCTTACACAAATACATAACAATAGAAATCAGCAAAACCTTAAACACCAGCACAGTAATATCAAACTAGTTAAAAAACTTAGGTGGTGTACTAAATCTTACCTCAGACTACCTAAGGATAATGAATAAGCCTTTCCCTGGTGTAATGCTAAGATACACTGGTGCATTTTAAAGATGCGTCAGCATCGAGGTGCACTGAGGCCACCTCAGTATCACTAGAAGAGGGTGATACTGGGTAAAGATGAGTCTTACCAGGGAGGGAATAAATGTTGTGGCACATGCTTAACATCAGTTAGGACTGTTACGAGTACTCCACCTTAGAGTGCATGACTCAAAGGGGCTGGGTAAGGGGGGCGCATAAAGATGTTAAATAACATTGGGGAGAGGATTGCCCCTTGGGGGACATCACATAACTGGGTATCATGGTGAGACCCTCTCCCCTGGCACTATCCTCTGTCCCTGACATTGGAGGAAGGAGACAGACCATTGCAAGGCTGTCCCTCGAATGCCCACATCGGCGAGGTGGTGGGTCAACAAATCATGATCGACACTGTCAAATGCTGCTGACAAATCAAGTAATATGAGGTGGTGGGTCAACAAATCGTGATCGACCGTGTCAAACGCTGCTGACAAATCAAGTAGCAGCAGCGCTGACCCACCTCCAGCTTTCTGTGAAGATCATCTGTGAGAGTGATCAGTGCCGTCTCCGTCCCATGGCCGGGGTGGAAACTGGATTGGAAAGGGTCTAAGGCTAAGGTGTTATCCAGGAAAACCTGGAGCTGCTCTGCTACTGCTCTCTCAACTATGTTACCCAGGAACGGTAAGTTCAACACCGGGTGATAGTTGGATAGATCATTGGGATATAAAGATGGTTTCTTTAAGAGCAGTTTAGTCACTGCCTCTTTTAATCTCCCTGGGAAGACCCCTGAACTCAGGCACAGATTTAAAATGTCCACCAAGGGAGCCTGTGTTCCATCACCATTAGCTTTTACCAGCCATGATGGCACAGGCCCAAGAGGCAAGTGGTAGGCTTCACAACATCCAGGATCCTGTCAGCCTTGATCCGTGAGAGCAGGCTGAATTGGTCCAACAGTAGACCAGAGGGTGGCCAAGCATGGAGTGTAATAGCAAAAGCCATTTATTGTAAAGTAACCTGTGTTCTTCAAGACTTGCCTGTACATGTTCCCCACCCCCACACCATGCACCTTGCCCAATAATGAAACTGTGTCATTTGGGTCCAGATGCACTTTCTCCAGGAGGGTTGTCACGGCCTCTTCTTTCAAAGAACAAAACTTGCCTACTAAGAGGCATTTATGTCCTGGACTCACTTGATCCACCTGACTCAGTGTAAGCCTCAATCTGGTGGGCCACAGAATTCTAAGCTACTTGTTTACCAGGGCTCACCGACAGGAAGCTATCTGATGGACTGCACTTTAAAAGCAGGTTTCCTGGATAGACCTGGATATCCCAGGCAGACCAGATTTCACCAGATCCCAGAAGCTAAGCAAGGCGGACCCTGGTAAGTATTTAGATGGGAGACCTCCAAAGAATGACAAAAGGGGGTCCCCCCGGGGGGGGGGCCCGAACCAAAAGGGCTAAACTAACACTGTATGTTATAAAAGTACAAATGTTTATTAAGGTGTACACATGTTAAAACATATTATGATTAAAAGAAAGAGTCTAAATATCAGACTTATAAAAACTTCAAATACACTTGATGGGTAAACAATTTCAAATTTAAGGACCAAACGCGTTTCGGCCCCTTTGGGCCTTCCTCAGTGATCACTATTTTCTATATTGTACTGACACACATCCAAATACATGTATAAAAGGTTTTTATATATATATATATAACCAGATGTTGTTTCCTTGTATGTTTATAATTATGTTACTGGTATATATGTTGGGCCATAGATATAGCCATGCCAGTTCTTCAAATTATTCTGGTGTCAGAGATTTCAATGTTCTGGATGTGTGTCACCTCCATCAAAGTACAAGATCTATCCAGGAAGTCCCGTGTTAGAATGCCACAAACCAGGTGCTCTTAGCCCAA